GTTACTAAATTAATTCTAAATTTAGTATCAAAATATTCAAATGTGTAACGGCTAATGTTGGAACTTAAAGTTGATTGGCACATTCAGAGTTGTAACCGCTATATTTAGTTGCATTGTTGGAAGAAAAATATGATTGACACATTTTTTTTTCTAATAATCAGAAACACCAATAATTTTTTTTATTTATGTTAATTTTCTTAATATGCCACAAATATATAAATTATTTTATTCATGTTACTAATGTAAATGTTGCATGATTAAAATAAAATTTAAATTTCAATTAATTTTGAATGATAAAAATAACTTAAGAAAAAGTAATAATTTTAATATGATAGAAGTACAAGTCTAATTAATAAATACAAGCAAAAATATATTTTATATCTGTGCAAATGCACAGGATCAAATACTAGTTACAGATAAATTACAGGGTTGAATATATATATTTATTATGGGGTTGGATAAGTATATATAAATCGCTCGATCACCTTAGATCTTATGTTGTATGACCCGACATCTAATTCGATCATCTTGGTGGGCGATAAAATCAGAGATATCTATCACCTTAGATCTTGTATGGTATGACCCGACATCTAAATCGATCATCTTGGTGAGCGATAAAAATCGTAAGCCGTCTTATAAATACCTGAAAGTGTGGAGGTGTTTGGCTAACGTTTCAGTTCCTGAACCAAAACAAATGAGAATCGGACCTAAGACGGTCGATTGTATTTTTATTGGATATGCGTACAATAGTACTGCATATAGATTTCTGGTTCATAAATCAGAAAATCCGGAGGTACCGGTTGGTACCACTATTGAGTCGAGAAATGCTATATTTTCGAGAATATTTTTCCTCTGAAGAAAATGGCAGAATCTAGTTCTAGCAAAAGAACGTATGAAACTGCTAGCGGTTCTGTACCAGATGGTACTGAAGATAAAGAAGAAGAACCGAGATGTGGTAAAAGGGTAAAAACGACAAAAACGTTTGGACCTGATTTTATTACGTATATGTTGGACGATGAACCGAGTTCCATTAAGGAAGCTCTATCTAGCCCATATGGACCACTCTGGGAAGAAGCTATAAATAGCGAAATCGAGTCCATTATGCAAAATCATACTTGGAAGTTGGTTGATCTCTATGCGGGTTGTAAATCTTTATGATGCAAGTGGATCCTAAAGAGAAAATACAAAGTTGATGGAACGATTGATATGTTTAAAGCAAGATTAATGGTCAAAGGCTTCAAAAGAAAAGAAGGATATGACTTCTTTGATACCTAGCTATTCACCTGTGACACGTATAGCGTCAATTAGAGTGCTTCTCTCGATTGCTGCCTTGCACAATCTTGAGATTCATCAAATGGATGTCAAAATGGCATTCTTGAATGGTGAATTAGAAAAAGAGATTTAAATGGAACAACCCGAAGGTTTTGTAGCAACTGGACAAGAGAAAAAGGTATGCAAATTGGTCAAATCCTTGTACGGACTTAAACAAGCTCCGGAACAATGACATTTGAAATTTGATGACATGATGTTGTCAAATGGGTTCAAAATCAACGAATGTGACAAATGTGTTTATGTTAAGAACACATCAAATACATATGTAATTGTATGTCTATGTGTAGACAATATGTTGATCATGGGGAGTATCCATGAAGTGATCAAGGATACAAAACGAATGATGAAAAGAAATTTCGACATGAAAGATATGGGTGTAGCTGATGTAATTCTTGGAATAAGAATTGTCAGAACCCAAGATGGAATTGTCTTGTCACAATCTCATTACGTAGAGAAAGTGCTCAAGAAATTTAATGCATATGAAGATCCTCTGTCTAGGACACCCCTTGATTTTAGCATAAATATGGAAGCCAATAAAGGTCAACCGGTTGCTCAATTGGAATATGCACGTATAATAGGGAGTCTAATGTACTTAACGAACTGTACTCGACCAGACTTGGCATATCCGGTGAATAAGTTGAGTAGATTTACTAGCAATCCCAACCATGAGCACTAGAATGCTTTGAAAAGGGTACTGAAGTACTTAAAGTACACCCTTGAATATGGGCTAAAATACTCGAGATATCCAGCAGTACTTTAAGGGTATTGTGATACAAGCTGGATATCGGATTCGAGAGATTCTCATTCCACAAGCGGATATGTTTTCTGTATCGGAGGAGGTGCTGTTT